ATTAACAACACAAATTTAATAGTCACCCAGATGATAATAATTTTAAACACATCAAGGATACTTTATTTTTAATATTCTTACAAAAAGGCATTAAAAGATTTTTAAATGTTCAAATTTATAAGGTTAAAAGTTATTTATACTTCTGTTATATTGTTAAAATTTATGTATAAATCAAAAGAGCTAAAAACTAAGATCACAGTCATAAGTTCCTTATGTTAATAAAAAAATTAAGCTGTTTATTTCTTATGTTACAGTAAGACAATGACCTTAGTTTAACAAAGGGCTTAAATAACTTCTAAGCACATGGGTCTCAATCTTTGGAGTTTTAAAGACCAAACTCTTTTATAAGGATAGCCTAGGACCATCTATATGTCAGATATTTACATTATAAAACAAAAAATTTTTAAAGATAAACCTGACAATATAAAGTCTTAGTTTTATAAAAGCTGCTAACCTGTTATAAGATATTAAAAATACAAATTGCTAGCCATTCTTATAAATAAAGATGTTGCCAGACATACCTAGGCAGACTTCTAATACTACAGAGATCTGCAGATTATGGCATTTAAAAGGTTAACTAAAAACTTTATAGTATCAGACAGAGAATTCTAGATCCTGACAGTGACCCAAGGTGTCTAAAGTAGTTATGGGGCTCCATGGATTGTGACAATAGTGATCAATGAGTATGATGCTCAGATACTACACCTTCTGCCAGGCAGTAACTGGCTCAGACTATGGACAGGCTACAGGACACTGGAGAATTGATTGCACCACCTTTGCCTAGACAAAATAAGGTCAGTCTTTTCCATGTCCCTCTTAAACAGAGAGAAAAAACTCTCACTTTCTAGACCTGGCAAAGATTTACTTCTGCCCCCAACACTATTGAGACTTGGATGTGGCTAGCTGTATGTGGACTGGACTCTGTCATTTTTAATGGATTCAGAAACTGTATGAAATTTGTCCTTCTCAGATATCTGATAGTATTAAAGGTTAAACAATAGCCAGCTGAATAGATCATTTAATAAAGTTCTGATAAGCTGATAAAGCTTACTGCCTGATGTTCAATCACAAGCTCCAGGTTTTTGGTTTACTTTGGTTGTCATCTAAATGTAAACTTGAGGGGTTTTCATACCGTCAGGGGAACCTCTGTCAGATCTACACCTGACTCTCTGGACAGAAGAGAAATGTGCAAGCTTCTAGCCCAAATCTGTAGTTTTTGCTAGAACTCAAAGATATAAATATATTTCTGCCATTCTACAGATACCCAATATCTGCTTTTTTCTGCAATGTGACTTTCAATACAGATTGATAATGATAAAAAAAATCTAAAACTTCTATGTCCTATTATATAATAAAGTTCATATAGGCTTCAGAGGATCAAAAGTCATAAAGCTTGGATCCACTTCTCACAGATAAAAAGGGACTCCAGATAAGTACAATTTTTGTTATCCCATCTATTTTTTTCTGAGTATGGGATTTTTTCGCTTGTCTTGGAACTCCTGTCCTTGATCACTAAAAGTATGGGCCTAAGGGTTCCAATCAGATATATAAGTTTTAACTTCTGTTCCCAGTTTAAACATGTCTCAACAGATTTCTACTTCTGGCAGATGAATATCAGTTGCTGACTACAGCCTGCTCCTAAAGACTTCGAGCCCTAGACTTGCTATGGATGTGAACCCGTCCAGCTGATATGGACACCAGCTATCTCTGCAACAGAGTCTGCCAACCAGAGTCTCCTGATGGATTCCCCATTGCCTAAATTCCTTTTTTTGTTTTTGACTAGCATTTCAGGCTTCTTGGGTCCCTAACTTCATCCCAAAGTCAGCAGGAAGTAGCATGGAAAAGAATAGATCGCCCATTTTCCCTGGTTAAAATGTTAAGTCAAAAGGAACTCCCTTCCATTGGGGAATGCCAATATCTCTCACTCCCTGATGGGAATGCAGAGATAGCAGCTGGGGTCAAAACCCGAACTGCAGCACTGGTCCAGGGACCCCGCCACTATAATGACCTAAAAACAGTCATAGATGAGGACATTAAAGCCATAAAAGGATCCATCACTAAATTAGAAGTCTTTGGCTTCTCGAGCGGAAGTTACCCTCCAGAATATTAACGGACTTGATCTCCTTTTCCTTAAAGAGGGTGGAATCTATGCTGCCCTAAAAGATGAGTGCTGTTTCTATGTTAACCATTAGGCATTCCATGGCCAAGCTCAGAAAACACTCAACCATAGTCGAATGAAATGGGTGTCCCAACAAGGCTGTTTTAAAGTATCGTTTAACAGCTCCACTTGGCTCACTACCCTAATCTCCACCCTCTTAGGATCCTACTAATTCTTTTACTGCTGCTTACTTTTGGGGCATGCATTCGATTTATTGAAGAAATCTTATCCATAATCCAAGCCCTAACTCTTTATCAGCAATACCAGGATCTCAGGCAATAAGAAGGACCATGGGTTTTAGGATTAAAACCTCACAAGAAAAAAATGGGGGAATAAAATATTTTAGTTTGCTGAGAAAAAGTTTCAAATGATTTTAGTTCCTTTGGGTCACACCTGGCTGGCCAACGTACAATCGGAGACTTTCTAGGGTACATTCTATGGTTTTTTCCTTTGTACAAAAGCAGGTCATACCTGGTGAGGAAGCTAACATGAGATCATACTTTGTAATCAATCACTTTGTGCCCCATCAATGTATGCTGATCTGTGGTTTTTTCCTATATAAAGAGCCTGTAATCCTTTCTGGAGTGTTCAGTTTTTCGACATTGCTGACACCTGAAATCGGATTCATTCAATAAACCCTCTTGTGTTTGTAGCTTTTGTAGCTTTTCTGAATCTCAGGGGCTCCTCTGGACCCTGTGCCCCTTAGAGACCTGGGGATCGTTCAGAATTAAGTCAACCCCCTCCCAGTGGAAGGCTGAAACTGTCTCACAGCAAAATCCACAGACCTTCTAGCTTTTAAGTCATGGTTTTCTGTAAATAAGACTGACACAGGTGGCAGGAAGAGAAATTAGGTCCTTTCTCTTCCCAGTTTACATAGCTGTTAAAAAGTACATTTTTCATTATGTATTTCTGTTTCCTAATTTCTTTTGGAATACAAGAAAACTAAAACATTGGGTTTTCTTGTCTGGCTGAGAGAGGATTGTAGTGACCCTTTGTTTGCAATCTAACAAATAAAGCTTACCTGAAGACGAAGGAAACAAAGCTTCCAACCACTAGAGAATTCTCACCACTACCAATGCTCAAGAGTGAAGAGGCGATCTTGTCCTCTGCGTCTCCAAACCTCACTGCTCCTCAGACTGCCTAGATTGCACTGAGTTCCTACCTTATATTCCTCTGTAGTGCTGGGATTAAAGGTGTGACCTCTCTTTCTCTTTTAAACTAATTAAATCTTGTAGCCCTTGGTGGCCTTGAACTCACAGATCCATCTGCCACTGTCTCCTGAGTGCTGGGATTAAAGTTGTGACCACAACTACCTGTTAGGAGCCAAATCTCAGGGCTTGGAATGAGATTCTAGTCCATGCTTAGCAGAACACATAGTTAACCTTTACATAGCAGCTCCTTAGAACCTGAGCTCCAGAAGAGAAAAAAACTTGATCCAGTCCTCCACCCACAGGCTCAGTTAACTAGGCAACCCCTTCCTGGAACTTTTACTCATGAACTCCTTTTTTTTGAGACAGGATTTCTCTGTGTACCTTTGGATCCTGTCCTTGCTCTGGAGACCAGGCTGGCTTTGAACTCAGAGAGATCCGCCTGCCTCTGCCTCCCGAGTGCTGGGATTAAAGTTGTGAGCCACCAACGCGCGGCACTCATGAACTCTTTACCCTGCCAAACATCCTGTTTGTGGTTTCCTAATATCCTGCCTATACTAACACCTTGTGCACAAACAACCCATTTTGCCCCTCCCCAATCTTGACTATAGAAGCTAGCCTGAAAAAAGTAAAGTTTGTCACTTAATCAGAATCCTGTCTTATGGTCATTCTTTTTCCATTTCTTGTCCCCATTACATTTTCATGCCTCTCTTGCCCCATGTTGACATCCTGCAGGTTGGGACAACTGCCTGTCATCAATGGCTAACTAGTGTCTTAGGTGTGTTGCTAATTAGTGGCTTAACTCTGCATTATGATCCTTAGGCAAGCCTTATTTTTTAGGTTTCAAGCACAATATCACTACATTTCTCCTTTTTGCCTAATATAATAGTGAAGGCTACTAATATAAGAAAAACTATGTACAATAAGTACCATAACTAATATATCTGATATATAGAGGCAATAATTACCTCAAAATTTGTCTAACCCATTTGCATTTGACAAATCAGAGAAAATACGCCATTATCTATTCTCTCTTGGTTAGATCAATGTTTGTAGCTAATTTACTTGCAATCTTAACGTGGATTACCATCCTAAACTATCTTTTGATATCTCTCAACCTTACACACTTTACATCTCTCAGTTCAACCCAGATAATCTTAGGAGCAGAGTGGTTTGTAGATTCAACCAAAGGAGAGGATACTCCCCATTGGTCTGAGCATTAGTAGAGGTGACACTCTCTAGTGGCTAGCAGCTTTGCTTCTCTGGTCTTCAAGCAAGCATTGTTTGTTCGATTATAAACAAAATATCACTACATAGGTCACAGTACATAGCCCCTA